CTCCATAGAAACCTCACTACTTTCCTTTTCTCAGATACAGTAGCCAAATCAGAGTAAGAACATTTATACTTAATGCAGCTTAGTATGTCTTTTTAGACTGCGTTGTGAAATGCTGTACTGTATACACATTTCTTGCACTAAGAAAATGCACATTCAAAGGACAAAACTCCCATCCTGCTTAATAAGATTGGATGGTTTTGCCTTCTGAGCTTCACATCTCAGTCCCTAGCTCCCTAGCCATATCTATAGCACTCTCTCTTGTGTGTCTGTGTTTTCAATTTTTATGAATGAGACAGAGATGTAAAAAGGCATTCCTTGGTATACTCCAAGCTTTACCCCCTCCTTTTCAACCTCTCCCCCCCATCCGCCCTGAAGGCAATCTGCAAGTTCCCAGCAGGGACATAGACCTAAACCAAAGAAATAAAATAAAGTACATCTGTGTACACTGGCTCAGACTGATGGCTCCGAGTCTGAGCATTATATATTTACTCTTATTCAAATTTTTGTTTTAAGGGTGTGTTGAGCACTTTCATACCCCTGCTCACGAGAAAATGTTTAAAGGAAATTAAAATGTACAGTTCTGTGGTGGTTGAGGCATGCTTTCACACTTCAGATACAAGTCTCACTGGAAAATAACATGTACAGAGCGATGTCTTTCAAGATGAAAAGAAGCTTGTTATCCTTACCATGTAGTATAGTGTAGAATTATAAGGGATTTTGGCAAAGTGGGTAAAGGTTTACCTCCAGCATATAGTAATTTGCTGCTCTTTACAGTAACTGGATGAGACTACCTGCTTGCACTGTATAATGGCGGGAAAATGTGTGTGGAACCATAGCATGTGATGTGCTCTTGTTTATTCTGTGGAATTGTAAACTTTGTTCTTCTTCCAGGCTAAAGATGGATTCTAAAACCTCCGATTCTAGGGCTGTCATCTGGCTCCATACTCCCTATGATACTTTAAGATATGAAACATTATTAACCAAATCTTTGCTGCTGTTCTGCATATACTTTGAAAACAAATTTATAAAATGCATTAATAACTTATGTCAATCTGATTTTGTAATTTGGTGTTTCTGTTTTTCAATGATCAAAGCCAACATGGGAAGGGATCAGTATGATGGTAATAGATCAGTATGATGTGCGAGTTTGGAGCTGTTATATAAAAAGAAACTTTAAAAATGGAAATACTTTTCTTAAATTGTATTTTTAAGCTACCTACGGGTTATTTAAGTTTCAGCTCTTGCAGTAATGTCATAATTCTATTTCAGATGTGAGCAAACCTCAAAACCTTTCCTGTCATAAGATCTCTCACGATCATAGAGCCAGATAACAACCTCATCTGACACGAGGGTTATCACCATTTTGTAAGAAATAGAAATCAAACCAATCCTTCTAATCAGGCTTAACCTCCTTGATTTTTTCTGTTTACCCAGTTTGTCAAATCAGTATCTCCCCAGGCTTCTTTAATCAACAGTGCCTACAGTGATGTGTAATGTAATTCACAGAACAGCTACTGAGTTGTCAAGAGGCTGTTACTGTAGCTGTGTTGTATAACAGAAAGTGCCTATACAGATACAGTATACAGTAACTACAAAAAGTAACATACTTCTTATAGCTCATTCCGTACTGTTAAGTTTTTTGAGTAAATGGTAAAAGTTTGTCTTCGTCTGCATTAAAGATGTCTTTTGTCATGTGTATCTTTTTTAGTTTTGGGTGTTGCGTCAGACACCCCTGCTGTGTCCTTTTATGTCTTCTACAAAATAAATACAAGAAATGAATTGGCTTTACTCTTCCCCTTGACATCATCAGTTGTTATTGCTGTTTTACAAGTTGAGGGATATGGTTAATACTAATAAACTAAAGAACTTTAATTTTTTTTTTTTTTAAATGAGTAAATGGCAGCTGTGTCAAAAAATTAATTCAGTGGATGGGGAAATTAATTTAAGAGACCACGGGCCTTCACATAAAGATGGTATGTTATAATCTATGGAAAGCATACTTCATAACAATGTAGAGCAGCTGTACCAACACACGGGCAAACAAAACTCCAAAGCTTATAATTAATAAAAACATACTGTAGAAAAAAGACTCTGTAGTTTGGGTGTTTTCTGTACTTTTTAAACCTGAAATTGTCAGTGATTCTTTTTATGATCTCCCAGTGTGGAATTGCCATGTGTTGTTCAATCTGCCTATCAACAATTGCAACAACAATTTCACAGAAGAGGATTGAGAATGTTCTTCTCATATACACCAGATGTTGAGATACTCCACATTTGACATTTGGAATTGTCAATGGCAACCCATAGATTCCAATCTCACATAGCAAACCAAGGATACCCTGATGACAGGATGACAGCTCACTCCATCCTGATGACATTTGGAGAATTTTGGTGCAGTCAGACAAAACCCAATCTCAACAAGCACTTCCTGTCTGAGACCATTGGGTTACCCACAATTTTCTGAATAAAGCTAAATAGATCAGATTGTTCCACTACAGGGCAAGAATTAAAATGTTAAGGTGTGAAAAAAAAAACTTTCTCTGTCCTTACACTGCTGAGGGAAGGGACTTTGGTTGCACATTCTAGTCCCACGATACTTTTGTGAGCCTTTGGAATCCATCACAGAACAAGACAAAAAAACTAAACATACAGTGTTACCTACTGAAACATGACAAATCTCAGAATTTTAACAACAATTGCCAGTGGGCTATGCCGATTGACAAAATACAGAAGTATCCAAGTACCCTTATCCTTGGAAAAAATCTTAACAGGAAATCAGGAACGCACTGCTAATGTCAAAGGGATTTCACCCCCATCTCATAATATGTGCTGGTCTGTTTTTACCTACACATTTTTAAAATTCCCCGAAATGATTCATAAAGCAGGAAGTAAAAAAAAAAATAGTTTTTGAAAAAAATGCCGTTTATCAATAACCGTGAACACTTCTCTGACAAGCAATTTAGTTTCTGTCATTTTCTGAAAAAGGATACACGGAGACCTAGATTACAGAGAATGTTCTAGTGCTCATTCCAAAGGGACTGACAGGTATAAGATGCTCTCTTAATATTTCTATTTTTTTTCCTCAGTGCAAGGTCTCCTGGCATGATAATTAAAAGTGCTAGAAAAAAAAATCAAAGGGAATTAATTAAACCTTAGAGGAAAAATGGATCTGCTTTCTTTTTCAGAGGCTGTTCCTTCACTCTCTCCTGATCAGAATGTGTTCTATAACAGGCTTCATCTAACAATCGCATTCTTGTCTTTACTCTTCATGCTCCATTTAACACAAGCATTTACCGAAAGTTTCTCCACTGCTGTTTACAGCGACATTATAAGTGTCCTCTCCAGTCATGCAAACTAACAAACAGACAGAGAAATTGGTGCCATGGCACTAGTTGATTGACAAATTATGATTCAGAATCTGGCATGCCTGGGATGGGGTGTGTGAAGGCATTGCTTACTAAAAATGTTTTAAACACAAAATGAAGCTGATGGTACAAGGTCACTTACAAGTTATTAAATAAGAATCTAAAATATGCATTGAACAATATTTAATCAAATCATAAGTAGTTTCATTTGGTGGGTAAATGAAAAAGATTTTACTAGGCATGTATTAATTAAATATATTTTCTAACCACAATTAATGACAATGGGAAATGGGTTTTCTTTATCACTCTAGAATATGTACCTGTATGTGATTGTATAAGATGACCTTTGAGTTTCAGATTGTGTTCTTTCAATGAATCTCTAAAACTGATCCATTCTCGGTGTTATTTGGCATGTTAACAGTTTTTTAGTTCCAGCTTCTTTCGTAGAAACGTACTGTAGGAACCATAAAAAATATTTTTTCTAGAAAGCTCCTTAAAAATGAAATGTTGACAAAGACAGGCTATACAGTGCCAATAAGAAACAGTTGGGGCTACTTGTAAAGTATCTGACAGTGTGGGTTACTCCAAGTTTAAATGGACATTTCTCACACAAGCCAAGCTGGTTCAAGAATACATGCTATAATCAAGAGAGAAAAGTGAACATTCCAGGAAATGTAAAAAGAAGCAGATTCATTTACCTTTAAAGCAAAGGCCAATACGTCAATTCACCATTCCATCTTTAGCCTGTCACCTACCTCTTTGCTTGCTTGTCTTCCACTGGCTCACCTGGGTGTAAAATAAGGCTCCTCTTCTTGGTCACCAAGTTGTGTTTTCGAAGAAGTAAAGACATCCTTTTTTATTCTATTTACATGAAAAACAAGTCCAGTTTGATTTGTTCATCTGTTTTCTTTAGAGGTTTCTCAAAGTCCCCTGAAGCTTACACTGCCAAACATGAAGTGCACCCAATGAAGTTCCACAAAGCTGGAGGTCTCAGATAAACAGCAATCTGTTGTTTTGCCCCATCCCACCCCTCCCCTCAATCCCCAGGTCCTCTTCAGTTCTGGAACCCTTTTCATCCACCTAGGATTTGTATTGGCATTGCAGGCTGGCTATTGTGTGTCAAGTCAAAGTAGCAAAAGGGATTGAAAGACAGAAAGGAATCCACACAGATGAAAACATTGAAGAAAAGTCCAGGAAAAAATATTGTTTGACATCCACTTTCAGATAATTTTCTTTATACATATATACACATATATATGTATAACTATAAATATAGACACAATCTTATCTTCAAAGGTTGCTTTGGTCTCCAAAACATTCTGGATTGTCACTCCAATCCCTTGCAGTCGGAGGTCGGTGCACAGATGATGGAAGATTGTCGTGACAATCTAAAGTGTTCCAGAAGAAAAATCTCCCAGCAATCTTTTAAGAACTGAAACTGAATGGGGACCAATGACACCGGATGGCATTTTATTAGTATATTATTAGATTAGTATGAGTGAGCCATGTTGGATAGGTTTGTTGTCTAAGGCCTTTTAAAAGCTTATAGTAAATAACACAGAGTAACATAAAATAATGATTTAATTTTTTCGTGAATCCTGAAGTGAAAAAAAATACATATACTGTACAAACCACTCCAGATCTGACTTGTTTTTTTTTCTGTAAAAATGGAATTTTAAAAAACATTTTATTCTAAATGAAATGTTTTTTGAATCTGGGCACATCTATATAGGTTGCTCCACACTCAAATAATAATAATTATTGGCCTTACATTTTAAATGACACAATTAAAAGACAAATCCATATTTTTAACATAAATTCTAAACAGCTGCACCCCAATTAACCTCTTTCAATCCAAACGGCTCAATTCCCGTAATCAAATAATCACTAATTTGTTTCATTCCCTTAGAACAAGTGATTGACAGCCTTATTAAAACTAACAACATGAAACCTTTGAGGACTAACAAACTTTTTTTGTTGTTCTGCAGTTCAGCTTCTTTTTCCCCATGTTTTCTTCCTCTTTTCCAAGCGTATTTATTATATACATCTCTCACACTTCCACTACAGAAAAGGGCTTACTCTTCAAATTTTAAAAAGGCCTTTAGTAAAGACATTGATCATCGAGCAATAAAGATGGCTCCATTGACTAATAATATTTTAAAATATTACTTTTTTGAGATAGCTTGCAATGATTTTGTCACCTTGTATTTTTAACCACAATGAATTACAAAATGACATTTTTTTATAACAGGAAAATGGGTACTATCCATGTTGCAGTACAGTATGCCCTTTTGTAAACAGAGTACTTTTCCACTTTCTGCCTTCCTTTTATAAACTTTTTATTATACATATATGATCCTACTCTCTTTTATTACAGAATGCTTTGTACTGTGTGGCGGTGTGTGTTGCATGTACCCTTTGAAGAACTGCAGAACACATTCAGTTTACTCAAAGGAAGCCTGTTGCCAGTTCTCACAAAAAAACAACACCCTCATCACATTTGCCACCTGCCTGTGATCCTCTAAATAATAAAGCCAGTCAGGTTCAAATCAAGCAGGTAAACAGTAACATCTGGAAAGGTAGGAAGGTGCGATGTCCTTTATATATCCTTTCCATTGTGTGGTAGTTTCACTGTGGAGATGTCCGGGGATCTGTGAGGGAGGTGGCAGCCCGAGAAGGGATAGTGAGAGTCTGTATTGTGCCATGCTCCCGACCCCCAAGTTTCTCCAGGCTTTGGGGGGCTCCCTCAAATCCCACATTGAGGTGCAGAGGCTGATGAGCCTGACAGTAGTCCACAATTGGCTGTTCGTACCTGTAGAAGGTCAGCGCACTCACCTGGTGAGGGATCTGTAGAACAGAAAGAGAAAGAGAGAGCAGGTGACAGAGACAGAGATGGAGGGAGAGAAAAAGAGCAAAAGTGAGTGGGATCAATCTCTTTCAGGTCAGTATTCAATATTTCTTGAGCTGTTTGTTATCCAGGCTAATGGATGATTTCAGTGTAAAAACTCTTACACTGAACTAAGAGTGTAAGAATATACACTGTGGAGTATATCAAACCAGACTCCTGTAAAGAAAATATTGACACATGAATGGGTTTAGATGGCACAGTGGCATGGCAGTTAGTGCTGCCATTGCATAACCCTTTTCACATTGGGCTGTTTTCTTTGTGGAGTTTGCATAATCTCCCCAGGCTATTTGATTTCCTCTCATCCACCAAAGGAGTGTTGGGTAGGTTAAGTGACACCTCTACATGGTCTGTAAACGCTTGCCCGTATGTATTTTACTGTATGTGAGTGCCAAGGATGTAGTCTTGTCTAGAGCTCTGTACTTCTGGAATATATTCCAAGTTGCCATGACCTTTACCGGGAATAAGCTGGCTTCTGATAATGGATGAATGGAATAATTCATGAATGTTCCCATCCCCCATTTCATATCACAGGAGTGATACAGGATTCAGCTTTCTATCTCACATTAATTTTATATATTTCACAGTGAGTGCTTAAATCTGTGCTTTACTATCCAATATTATTTTCATATTCCTCTGGAAATCTGTGCTTTTTCAATAGCAGCTATTCCTTCTTTTAGCCCCCACCCCCCCAAAAAATGGACTAAAGACTGGTCATACATAGACCAATAAGAGAGAGTCTAGATTTGTTGTTTTTTCTGTACAAATCTATAAAACAAATTAAATAATCAAATTCAACACTTGTTTTCTTGTTATTTTTATTGGTCTTCAACAATGCATGATAACACACACACACCACCATTTTTTTATTTTTTATTCTTTTCAGAGACGATTACATCCTTACAAGAAGAAAAGTAAAAATGACTATGTACTCATAATACACTATAGAAGTCATTTTTCCTTTTCCTTATTTTTAATTTTAGACTGTATTGTACAGTTTAAAGTTCGAGGTTTGGATCTAGCCTGAAATTTGTCCTTTTAAAATGTTACTGTATTTACATTGTTACATTGTATTCTAAACTGCATTCTCACATGTTTTGGAACCCAGATTAGTTGGTATTATTATTTATGACACCCTGGTGGTATATAAGAGTAAGCATAAACACAATAATAAAGCATGACTTTTATCTCAGATAAAATTGGGAAAAATAATAAAAGCAAAAAAGTATTATAAGGTGGCAGGTCTAACTTTGGGAACTAGTTTACTTCACTCTTGTGTAACAATTTAAATTAGTAATTGAAAAATGTAATGTATCTATTCTTTACAGTCTGTAATATATAAAGGCAGTGTTATAACTGAAATATTAAATATGTTTATAATTTTGTATTAATAAATATTTGAATTTGAATAGCTTAACTGCTACACATTTATAAATTCACATTTGCAGTTCCACTGTATTACTTTGGCGAAACAGACACAAAATAAATATAAACCATTTTAAGCAGACAGCATTGTTTCTAACAATGTTCATGTGAAGTAGGAAGAAAATACTAATTTTGGATAGCACTGCAAAATTGAAAAAAAAAACATGGGAGTACTGTAGTACAATTGAAAAATTGGTATCTAGAATACAAAACAGAGGATCCACAGCAGCAGTATGCCTGAATGGTTCAGAGATGTAGGCCCTCGTTTAGTAATATACTCCTTATTTCTTACTGCAGTAATGTGAAATTCTTCAGTTCAATGAGGATTTAGTTGCTTTGTCCTGAGTGTCCTGCTTCATCTGAAAAATGGTTATTCCTTTGCATTGTCCAGTTTGTCCAACTGATAAATACAGTACATACTGTATATGGCCTAATTTTCCCAACAGGCAATTTCTCCATCACAATCATTTAAAGCAGAGTGGGCAGTTTGCCCACAGGGAAAATAAGGACCTTAGTGTAGGTCATGTTTTACTTTTGCTTCATCAAGAAATCTATACATGGAAGAGACAAGGGTTCTTTTTCTTAACACTCTCTATTAAGCCTTTTTGTGTCTTTGCAATGTCAGCCAAGTTGCTTAAAAAATGAGGAAGTCACTGTATAGAAACTAGTGTGCAAACATGGCAATCTGCACTAATATTAATTGTGGGCACTGGACTGAAAAGACAGAAACATATCTCTTTTCATAAACTCGCCAAGATTAATATTAATGTGAGAAAATATAAATAGAATTTGTGTCAAGAAAGTGGTATAAACAGTATCCATCTACTATATCTAGACATGAGCTGAGAAAATCAATGTTAAAATATTTGCTGACTTATACAGTATATAAATAAATGACTTTCTATCTGTTTTCTGTAATGATATTAAAGACATTCATGGAAAGGTAGGGCCTCTAAGTTTTTATTAATACATTCTAACAACTGATTAGCATGTTTTTCATGTTTTTTGTTGGTCACGCGCCTCCATTTATATTATTTTCAAATTATTTCCTCTGAATTTGAGAACTTACATGGAGACTACACTTCTGAATTAAATTTGTTGAAAATTTGTTTCCAGCAATTAACCCTTATCCTTAGTGTAGCAGGGTCTGTTCAGAGTATAGTAAAAAGTGACAGACTGAAGGAAATACTGTAGTAAAGGTAGAAATGTAAACCTAGCTAAACATCGTGCATAGTGTCAGGAGTCAGTGCACGATAGTTGCTATTATAATTTGCCTACTGTAACAAATTAATACAAAACAGTTAAATAGAGAAGCACTGCAGTACATCTCGCTACTGAAGGAAGTAAAGTACAAAACTTTAAATGCAATAAACTGTTTAAACTACATTTGAGACACATACTATATATGAGTTCTGGTTGTGTTTGTTTTTTTCTCTAGTTGCAGACTTTATTAAAAAGTGATTACAACCTGTTTTTTCTATGTTTTCTAATAAGGAATCAACAGCTCCTGTAGTGCTGATGTAAATGTGCATCCTTTTATTCACTCAGCTTCTTAAACATTAAGAGTTTGAAGGAAGTAGTTCAGACATTAACACATACAATACAGTAACATTCTGTCAGGTCAGGCAGATAGGGTAAATGGATTCTGTGCACGACTCAGGAAAGAGAAACACCAAGCTCAATTGCTAAGCAAAAACGAATACCAGGAAGTGAGCAAGTAGGTCTGTACACGGGAGAGACAACGAGGGAACGACAATCCAAATCACTAGGCAAATAACGAAACCAGGAAGCAAGCGAGTAGGTCAGGTCATGGGAGAGACAACAAGATGGCAACAATCCAAATCGTAAGGCTACAGTAGGTCGAAAAAAGAGAGAAGAGTATAACGCGCACTTGGGAGCTCCAAGAGTATCCGCAATAGTGAGGGGGGAAGTGAGGAAAGAGAACAAAAATAGGGACGGGAGTGAACAGTGATTGGAGTATTACTTGCGGCGTGAGTGTTAAAGAGTGTGCGCATGGGAATGCAAGAAGGGACAGAGACGCGAGTGGAATGTGTAACACATTCTGTATAAAACACCCCAAAGAACAGTGAATCTGTGCTTGAAAGATATCAGGGGTTAAGTAATCCCTTCTCTTTAATGACCACTGTCTGGTTAATTGTTTGGCAACTGGATGGGTTCTTTCATCTTAGTTTTAGTTCATATTGTAAGCCCAGAAAAAATAAATCACTTTAATTAAAGTAAATTATCGTATTGAGGGAACCAGATTTTTAGTGTTATCAGACACATGAAAATGAGCAACTTGTAAGACATTGATTACAAATAAATGAAGACATACAGTGCAAAGTTGCATGAACTGCTTCTGAAGGAATGCTACTGCCCCTTCTGTTGCAGAATAATCAGTTTGCATTGTAAAAAGTTTAAGTATTTTCTTATCATTTTATAAATCTGTTATCACTTTTAAACACTGTTTTAATGATAATATGTTAGCTTCTGGTGGTTTGTCTTGAAATTTTCAGATTTGGCTGTCCTACTGTCACGATCGCTAACCCCTCCTCTTGAGGGCGCTCCAGCCCTTCCTTGTTCCTGCCCATTGTCTGCACCTGTTCCCTATTCCCGCTCCCCCTTAAAAGCCAGACGCGGACCTCACTCCTGGTTCCTCATTGATTTCCACATCATGAGAGCCTGGGGTCTTGCTGTGTCTGGCTCCGTTATGCTTTTAACTTTCTGTTCCTAGTTCCTGGTTCCCCTCGCTGGTTCCGACCCGGTTCGTGTCCCCCCCCCCCACCGGATGGATCGCTTGGCTATGGACTTCAGCCCTTGTTTCTGATTTCCCGTTTGGATTTCCTACATGGATTGTTCACCTGGATTCACTCCCCTGGACACCAGCACTGCATTGACACGCCCCCCTGTCTCCAGACCCTCTCCCGCATGCCTTTTTCCCTAGTGTATCTTCACTATTCTGGATCGTGTCGTCCGCATAGGGCCCGGAAGGAACTGCTACATGACACCTACTATGCTTCATAACGTGCCGCAAACTGCTTTGAGATGCTGCTCAAAATGTTCTGTGTGCCTCTCTCGCCTGTTGTGTTTGATTTGTGAGGAAACAAAATACAAAGTACATAACATGGAAGAGCCACAACAATTTGTTAGATATGCATTTTTATTTAGTCACTCCATTCATTTTCTGTCAAGTGTCACACTAATCGACCACATTTGCAGAACATTCTCATGACATAGATATGAACACTGAGTCGCTGGGTTTTCAAAACATTGTATTCATCACAGTGTGAAATGAACAACTGGGTGAGGAATTAGGATTTTTGTTTAACATGGCTGAGCAGGGAAAACAACTGTAAGTGCCCTGTAGAAATTACAACCTAGATATACAACACATAGCAGATTTTAGAAAGCAGTGAGCAACGAAGCAGCAGGCTGATAGCTCTGCTCCTTTAAGCAGGCACAAGAGAGCTAAGAACAATGTGTGAAGGCTCAGGGAGTGCAGTGACAGCACAGCGAC